CAACAGTGAAACAAGAAAAGAAAAACACAAACAAAAATTTTCATATTGCCCACGTTTCCGACCCCGAACTTCATTTTCTTCTTTTCCTTTTTTTTTCTCTCCGCCATGCCTCCCACGGCCCCCATGCTTCGAGGCATGAGGGCTTCGTACTAGGCAATACGGGAGAAGTTCGGAGGTGCAAGCCAAAACCAACTGAGGCAAGAAAAGAAAAGAAAAAAAAACGAGCGTAGGCACTCACTATACATCTTGACGTGTCAACGTCATCTTTGTCTCTCTCCTCCCTCTCCCCTTGTTTGTGAAGCAACCGACGACGCTGACACGGCAACACACGCGCGCAACCGCAAGCACAAGAAGCGGGAAAATAATGAGTGGGCCATGGTACAACCACAATAATAACAATGATGTAAATAAATAAGTCCGTTTTACTTCATTCCTTTTTCATTCCTCCTCCTTTCCTGTCCTTTCTTCACCTCCTATGCGTGGGAAAAAGAACTTATAATACACACGGACAAGAGAGGAGGGCGAAAAGGAAAAAGTCAAGACAAAAAACACAAAAACCCAAAAACAAAGTAAAACAAAATAAAATATGCCTAATGGTACCTGTGTGGTGAGGTGAGAGAAATGAAGGGGATATAAGAAAAAAAAGAAGGGCACTAGAAAGCGTTGCAGCAAGCGCGTGATCTAGTGTCCGCCCACCGCCACACTCCTCCAATTTTCCTAAACACCCAGACAACACACGGATATGCGCCCGCCGCAGCCTACTTTTCGTTGCCCAGTTCCCTCAGTTTATCCTCCAATGCGGCCATTTGAGACTTAATCTCTTCAATTTTCTCATGGTGCTCATCCACCTTCGACTGCAGCTTCTCACCCTTTCCGTCGTCCATCTGGCGAAGTATAGACTTTATCAGTTCACGCTGTCGCTCATAGGCGTAGCGCTCCTCTGGGGTCCGAATTTTCTCGTCGAACTCCGCCTCAAGCCAGCGGTCATCGTCGTCAAGGTTCACCTGCCGCTTCTTCTCTCCCATTCCCTCTTTACTGGCGGCACGGCATGAAAGGGTCATAGCGGCGCAGGCCGGGAGAATACGGGCCGCGGCGAAGCGTTGCATCAGAAACAAGTAATAAGGCTTGGTGTCTAAAGCTGCAATAATAGCGATGTAGTGCAGAAATTGTTCAGAAAGTAAGGCAGATCTAGAGAGAGAGAGAGAGATATGAGGGTGACAGTTAAACAGGATACTGTGAAACATTTAGCACACGAATACGTTACTGCGCCACAATACCCAAGTAGGAACAGTCACGCAGAGAAGCACATTATGTATATTTCTGCGCTTCGGGACGTGAGTATGGCAAACTTCCCCAAGTTGCCGCTGGTTTTTTTTTTGCCCTCCTCTTTCTTTTTCCTCCGCTTCTTCGTCTCCTAAAGCCCATTACAGCGACGTCGCACCCATGGCCGCGGCCAGAACGGATTGATCGAGGGTAACTGTGCCCACTGTGCGGCGCGCCATGCGCTCTTTTCCTTTTTTTTGATCATTCCACTTTTTCTGCTTGCGTGAAATGTCACCCGCGTGAATTTTTGCCGTGACGTCCTTGCGGTACGCCCTCACCGTTTCACGGGCGACAATTTTTGCCCCTATCATTGCCTGCAGCGGGATGTCAACGGCGCTGCGTGTGAGGTTCGACTTGAGGCTTGACACAATACGCTTGCCAATGGCGGAGGCCTCCGACCTCGGACAGATGACAGAGAGCGCAGACACACGTGACTTCTGAACCAGCACGTCCACCTTCACGAGGTCGGCCTCCTCGTAGACGGGGTCATCGTAGTCAAGCGAGGCATAGCCGTGTGAGGCACTCTTGACCACACCAAAGAATCCACGGACAAGGTCTGCCAGAGGCATTTTGTATCTCACGAGAACCCGTGCGTCATCCAGCACGCGCATATCGAGCTGCTCCCCGCGAAACCGTCGCAGTGCCTCAGCATCAATCGCCTGAAAGTGCTCCCGCGGGGTAAGAATAGTGGCGGTAACGTACGGTTCCAAGTAGCACGCCACACCTTCGTGCAACCACCTCCATGTATGTACGGTCAGAGGCTTCAATGGCGCATCCTCACCCATGCCTGCCTCGCGGTATTTGTACTGCACCAGTGGTGGCGTCACGAGAACTTGTTGACCAAACTCGGCAAGAAGACGTTCCTGGAACACCTGCATGTGCAGCATACCCAGAAATCCAAGCTGCAGTCCTGCCCCTAGTGCCGGGCAATCCAACGGCTCCATCGTGACGGCCGGCTCATTAACGCGCAGCTTTTCAACTGCCTCCCGCAGCTGAGTAATGTACTCTCCTTCGTCAGGGTAAAAACCAGCAAAAACCACCGGATGCACCCGTTTAAAGCCGGCTACAGGAACTATATTATCCCGTGTAAACGCGCGAGTGGGTAGCGTGTAAAGCGTCTCACCCACAGAAAAGTCCTCACGGCTCAACTTTGAAAAGGTGACGTATCCTACCATGCCTGCTGTGAGCGCCGCCGTGGTCCGGAGCTCGGGATGAATGAGGCCCACCTCCAGCGCCTCACACCGCCGCTGCGAGTGGTAAAACGTCACCACAGTTTTGGCTGTCAGTGTCCCGTCAATGACACGGATAAGACACGTCACACTCTCGTCACTAGAGTTGCCACTATTTTCTTTTTCACCGCCTCGCGGCGTCGGACGGCGCAGGCCCCCGCCACACTCGGAGGTCCACGAGTCAAACAACAACGCACGCAGCGGCACCATCTTCTCCTCCATCGCAGCTCGCTCTGCGCTGCCGAGCAGAAGTGGTGGGAGTTGACGCGCGTCAGAGAGCCCTACCAGACCAGATGGTGGAGGGACGCGCTCGATAACGGCGCAAAGAAGCTTCTCCACGCCGAGCTGCCCCTTTGCGCTTGTGAAGAGGACCTCGCGGCGCAGCAATCCGGTGGAGTCCTCCAGCTCCTGCAGCGCACGATCCACGGGGGCGTCGCTGAGCACGGTGTCCATTTTGGTGAGCACAGGAATGATGGTCAAGCCCCGCTCTAACGCCGTATGGAAGTGCGCCATTGTTTGGGCCTCGATGCCCTGGGCAACGTCAACAAGCAAGAGTGCCGCCTCTGAGGCACTTAAACTTCGTGAGACTTCGTACTGAAAGTCCACGTGCCCAGGAGTGTCAATAAGGTTGAGCAGAAACTCCTCCCCATTGTGTACGACGAAAATAGAGCACGTCTGCGCCTTGATGGTTATGCCCCGCTCACGCTCCACCAGGAGCCGGTCCGTGTACGTCCCCACCTGTGACCCACTCAGCACACCGGTGCGGCGCAGGATTGCGTCGCTCAGTGTAGTCTTGCCGTGATCCACGTGCGCAACAACGGCAAAGTTTCGAATCCTCGAGGGTGGGAATGAGGCAAGCTTGGCAAGGGCGCGGCACGCCTTCTCCTCATGCGGCGGTCGTGGCACCCCCATCGTTGCCGCGGAGGGCTCAATGCTGTACTTCAGCAAGCACGAGGTCGAAATTGGCATGCTGGCATCTGAGGCATCCTTTTCTGTCATCTTCGCAGTCGTTTCGGAGGGGTTGTTGCTCGACGAAGAGGGTGAGGTGGCACACCAGCGCAGTACATGTCGGGGAGAGCCGCTGGCGTTGCACAGACGCCGCCGTAGCGGCTGCACAAGTGAGCGAAATCCCACCCGCATGAATCCCCGCCTCTTCCACCGCCGCAAGGCCTCTCCGACGTCTCTTCAGTGCCCTGCTGCCCCAAACAACGCCAAGAAGTTGTGAAAAGAAGAAAGGCGTCGTGGCAACGCACGTCAAGCCACACGAAAAAGTAAGGGGTAATATGTATATTTATATATATTTGTGTGTCGCGCAAGCAACAAATTCCAGCTCACTGCCGTTTCCCTTCCACCAGTCGAACAGACGGAGCAACAGGCAGGCACAGAGGGGCAGCTGGGCAGACTGGTATTAGGATCAAGTGCCAAGTACCACCGTTACCTCGCTTTTACGCTTCACTGTCCCACATCCATCCATCCATCGATAGATAACTATGCCTTTTCGCAGGGTGCGCGCGTCTCTCTCTTTCTCTCTCTCCCGTAGCATCTGCCGCGTGGGTGCATCCAGACACATCTAATACATTGCTATACATTTCATTCTGTCACCTCTCAAACGACATCTCCTCTCTCTCTCTCTCTCTCTCTTCGTCTTCTTTTTTTTTTATACCCTTTTCGCCTCGTTGATATGCCAACAACAGCGCGATGCGCGGCCCTCGCGCCTGGAGCCGAAACTACAAACAAGTGTCTGCATCTGCCCGGCAGCTAATTAGCTTTTTCTGTAGCTGCTCTTTATCATGGCGTCCCGTTTCCGTCTCTTCTGCAACAACGTCAGCCGAGGCGTCGAAAGCCTTCTGCTCCCCGCCGTCGCTGTTCCCGCAAGCGGACTCGAGAAGACGGAGATTAATTCGACGTGATCCGTCCCCCGCCGCCCGAAACGGGACATGACGTGGTCAAGGATGCTCCCCGCGTTCCCGCTGCTGATGGGATCGAAGCGGCTGCGTGCGCGCCGCACAAGAGCCAAGACATTGCCGTCCTCCGTGCCTTGCCGCAGTCGTGAGAGCAGAAAACGCTGCGTCGCCTCGTCCCTGTGCGCAGCGCGCATGTCGAGACACAGCTGTGAAAGACCCTGCAGCTCTGTCGTACGTGCCTCCACGTCGAGCAACACCTGCACCAGCTGGTCGGCATCTGGGATAATAGGATCCACAATGAACGGGGCTCTCGAGGCGTCTTCAGCTTCACCAGCAGCAGCCTGTTCCTTGCCAGCTCCATGCGGAGGAACTACTACGGCCTGGTCGTGCAAGTCTACTGCCTCGGCCATGGCGGCCCATACTTCGTCTTCGCACAAGGATGGCAAAGCGGCAGCATGCAAAAGCTTCACTCGTTCTGCGGCGCTCGTTTTTACGTTGACAAGACGACTGAAGCCAACGGCGGCGAAGCACGCGTAGACCTTTGCGCGCATCCCAAGCACGCTGTGCAGGGATGCCGCTAACCGCCGCCGCGCCCGCCGCGTCGTCGCATCGGGTGCGGCCCCGCCCTCAACTTCCTCTGCATTGGTGTGCTGCAGCTCGTTGTAGCGATTCTCGAGTTCTTCCTTGAGAGACTTGCGGTCATGGATTCCAAGGAGGCCCAGACCCCAGCGCTCGGGATGGAGGAGCGGCGTCTCCGAAGGTTTGGCGCAGCCACCACTAGTTGCGCTAACGTTGCCCGGACAGCCGCCCCCGTCCGCTGTGTTGGGCTCTGTTGAGGCTTTCGACACCCGCATTTCCTTCTTTCTCGCCACCTGCGCCTCCGCCACGGCGCCTTCTCCCGCACTGTGCACGTCGGCTGCGTCGTCGTCGTCCTCAGTGGCGGCTTCCCGAGCCGTTGCTCTCTGCGGCAAGGCGGTCGCGGTAGTGTGCTCCAAGTGCCCCGCAGCCGCCTCCTCTCCCCAAAGGGACAGCAGCAGCTGCGTCGCGCTCGTGCAGTCGTCATCCTCCGTGTCACGTGACTTCGGCAGGTCGTTCGTGGACCATTGCAGAAATGCCTCCCGCGCCTCTTCACATTCATGCAGGACGTCGGCGAGAAAGGTTAGCGCTGGGGCAAGCGGCGAGCTATCGCCGGCGGTGATCGCCTCAGCGTCCCTCGGAGCAGCACGCTGCCAGCAACCCACGAGGGCGGCAATCATGGAGAGCAGCACGTGAACGCCGTCCCCCTGCACAAATTGCGCCTGCGCCACCGCATTGCCAAGGATGAAGGTGCGAAAGCAGTCAAGCACGACCAAGAGCAGCTCATTTCGGCCCCCATCCACCTTGGAGGGAGGAGGGGAAGTTGAGAGCAACGCCGCCGATGAAATTCGCGCCAGTGCGAGGAGAAGCGGCACACCACCCAACGAGAGAAAGGCCCGTTGCGTCGTCACGGCATCCGCGGGGTCCCCTCCAACAATGTTCTTCAGCAGCAGGAGACAGTGGATAACGACTTCCACTTCACCTGCCGTAAAGTATGCTTTTTCACTCCGGTTACCTTCCGGGGCGAAGTTGAATTCCACGGCGGTGGGGAGCGTCTCCATCGCCGCCCCAGCACAGCGAAGCGGATCATCCGCCGTGGCCTTACTCCGCATAAATAGTCGACCGTCACCAACGCCGCTTAGCGTCGACGGAATGGTGTCTGAGTGGGAGGTGTGGCTGGATGGCCGCGAGCCCTTGGGGGGCTCCAAGGGCTTCGATGACGCAAGCAAAGACGGCAACGCCGCCGTCCGCGACCCTTGCTGCAGGAAACCCTGAATAAAGCGCGTCACAACCACCAGAAGCAAAGGGACACTTTCGGTAACCGACGGCATCGATGGCGAAGTCGACATGGTCGCGGTGAGGAGCTCAGGCCGGTGTGCCGGGCAGCGACTCAACACGGAAAGCACGCACACCGCAAGAGACACCAACGCCTCCGCATCCCTCGTGGTGACCTCACGGATGTAACGCACGGCGCACAAAATGCCGCCGGCGGCAACAAATTGGGTGTCCGCCTTCACCAGCGGCAGCAGCGCCATGACGTTTTCGTCGGACGTGCTGCTTGTGGCGGCATCGGAGAGTGCCAGCGCCGACGCTTCGCTCCTGCCCGTGTCCGCTTGGAGCGGGGCGGAGGCCGCCGCTGCCGCCACGGCGGAGTCCATCAGCCCTAGAAGAACATACCAGGCCTCCTCCTGCAACGTCAACAGCTCCTCACGCGACCATGCCACTACAGGCTCCTCGCTGCACATTGTGTCCACGTAGAGCAACAGGGCGTGTATGAAGCCATGACGACACAAATCGAAGATTAATGCGTTGTCCTCGTCTGCGTGTTCGTAGCCGGCGCAGTGATCATCAACACTGTCGACAGGGGCTCCATCGCTGGCCGTAGGCCCGTGGTCGCGGGAAAGGTGCTCCACCACTAGACGGGCGTTTTGCCACTCATAAAAGGCTTCTAACATGCGCCATCCAAGTAGCTTAAACTGTACATTTTCTACACGTGTTGTGGGTGACAGTACAGTGTGGTAACGCAGAAACGTCTCCACGGGTCGTCGTGTCATTTGGGCCGTCCGCCCGTACTCACGCAACTCCGGACCACACACCATATCGAAGACAGTTGCCGCGAGAACGTTGATGGCGTGAATCGCTACTGGCGGCAGTGGTGTGTACGCCGCGGCTTCCGCGGAGTGCTGCAGTGCCGCTTGTCGCCTGCGGAGCATCGCCGTGCCACTTTTTAGAATCAGCATAAACAGCACCACCATGTCGTTGCGCAACTCTCGCTGACGCAGTCGATGTCCCGTGAGTAAAACCTGAAGAAAGCAGTACAGCAGGGACTCACTGGCTGACAAGGACGAAAGTGGTCGCCCCTTTTCATAGTGTGCCGGCTCGGCAGGCTGCACACTGTGCCGCAAAATAGCCGTGACTGTCTCCTCCGGCGCCACCTCCAAAAGGTTCCAAAGGCACTCTACACACAACGCGAGGCACTTGTCCCCCTCCGCACACCGGGCCATCGTTAGGCAGAGGAGGACGGGGAGACTGGCGCACGCTGCGTCCGAGCTGTCGTCAGGCGCGATGAGGCAACGCGCATGCTGCTTGTACGTGGAGAGGTGTAGGCAAACCCGCAGCAGCAAGTAAATCTCCTCAGCGTCGTCCTCCTCCATGCGTGTTTTAGAGACGAAAACGCACGGACTCTCCTTTCGCCTCTTGGTAGAGGGGCCGATGTCAGCCTCAGGCTCCATCGTCAGGGTCACCGCCGTGGCAGCGTTTTCGTCCTCCCCTTGTTCCAGCACGCCCGCTTGCACGAGGGCCGGGTGCCGGAATAACTGACGCGAGGAATCAAGCAAGGCATTCGCCGCCACACCGTTACGCAGGATGGTCGTCCAGCGCTCTATGAGGGGCCGAAAAACATCCACGGCGACAGCGCCATTATAAATGCTCAACGGCACTGTACGCTGACGGCGTGCTTCGCGCGGCGAGGTCCGCGGCGCACCGAAGCAAGAGTCGGCTAGGCGCAATACGTGGCCCATTCGCGCTCCAGACGCTGACGGCGGTAAATTCGTCACGGGCACTTGGCCCTCGTCCACCTGCTCGTGCACGACATCCGCTTGCTTTCGCTCCTTCCATGGCAAGACGCGCGGTAACGTCGCGACAGCAGCCTCCTCGTACTTCCTTTTATCGCGTGACGCGAAGTGCCGGTTCACACACGTCAGTTCCTCCGCGTCAATGTGCGTCATGAGGACATTGAGCGAGACGAGTGCAGCGTGACGAATGCGGCACAAAATCTCATTGAACGGCGGCGCTGACGCATCCCGTTCCACTTCATTCTCCTCGCTGCAAACAACATCGCCGTTGCTGCAGGCAGCACCCGCTTCAGCTGCGATGCCGTGCATGGGTTTCAGCTGGACAGAGTCTGACGTGACACGCAGGATGGAGGCCATCGCGGACGCCAAGAGGCGAACCGCAGTGGTGCGCTGGTGTTGGTCTTCCAGTGTCAGGCAAACGAGTGGAAGCGCACAGTGATACAACAGAGCCTGCAGCGCCGACGGAAGATCGCGGAGCATCGGTGCCGGCGGAGTTGGAGACGTATCATGCCTCTCCTCTTCACTCCGCATCATTAGTTGTGGTTGTTGTTGTTGTTGCTGCTGCTGTTTGTCCAATGCCGCACCCAAGCGAGGCTGAGGCTCTGCAGCACGCACGGAATCAGTTTCTGGAGAGGCGTTCCCCTTCGTTGCTCCATGCTTGCGTGGCCGCAACGACTTTTCGCCCATTCGCGCCTTCCCCGTCGACACCCCACCGGCCATGTTGTATTGTGGCTGCACCCGTGCTGTGATGCGACGGCGGGCGTCTGCTCCCGCAGAAGGGCCGGCCTCATCCTCGTTCTTGCCTGGCGCCACCGCCGTTGATGGCGGTGGCACGGGACGGCGCACCAGCGGCGGCAGGAAGGGTAGCAAGTCGGCGGTGGCGGTTTCGCTACTATCCGCGCCACACTTCACTCTTGCTCGTGCGCTGTTTTTGGGGGTCGTGCAGGAGCGGCGCGCCGGTCGCTCCCGCCGCTCTGCCGCCGGTGCAGTGTGAGGGCCCACGGCGGCAGGCGCGGTGGCGGCCAAGGGCGCCGCAGTTGCTGGTGGCACGATCGACGCCGGGGCGACAGTGCTGCGGCGCAGCGGGGTAAGTGCCCGCACGGTGCCGGTGTCCACCTCCGTGGGGTAGAGTAGATAGCCCCGCTTCACTGCGTCGGCCAACATGTAGAGAATATCCGGCACCCCCGCGACAACCATGGATGGCGTAAACCCCATCGGTGCATCGCAGCGCAGCAGTTCGTCTATTTCCACCACGTGACGGTAGAAGTGATGGGCACTGCTGGCACTCTCTATTTGATGCACAATTTCCGCAACGCGGCGTCGCAAATACAGTTGAGCATCCAACGTGGGGCGGTGGCTATTTGAGCCGCTATGCAGTACCTCACTCATGGCACAACCCACCGTTAGCTCCGCGGTGTCGGGAAGACACCTGGTTGAGTGACGCCGCTGCTTCGTTGAGGCCCTAATGACGACGCCTGGCCCCACCTCACGAGCCAGCACTTTTGCCGACGAACCACCGGCACCGCGCGTCTCCTCATCCCGCTCCCCGCGCATCCTCTTTTTTTGGTTCGCTTTGTATTTTTTTTTTTTTGCCTTTGCCTCCTCTCTTGTGCGCCGAGGATGTGTGCGCCTCTTCTCGCTAGTACCTTTCCCCTTCTCGAAGCCAAGCAAACACGCACGCACCCCCCGCAGGCGGCGCACAAGAGGCGAGTTTGGGCCCGCACACAGACACTTCACCGCGACCCGGATGGGACGGTGGAGGAGTAACAACCGCACACCAGCGACAGCAATCGCAACAGAGCCGGAGTTTTTGAAAAGAGAGGAGAAACCAAAAAAGCAAAACAAACACGCATTTTACTATTCTTGCGTGGCGCCCTGTAACAACTACTTACACAGACACGCACGCACACAACAGAGACAGAGAGAGAGAACGCCCACGGCACGTACCACACACACCTCGTCAAGACCCAACCCAGCCCAACCCAGCCCAGCCCAGCTCAGCTCCCAGTCCCAGTTAACGTATATCCTCCTCTGGGTCGATCTCAGCCTCCAGCTGTTGCGGTTCCGGCTGCAGTTCACCGAGTGACTGTTGCGGCGAAGACGCTGCCGCCGCCGCAGCCACTTCAGTTCTTTGCGGGGCACTAAATCGAAGCTTTAGTTTCCTTGCAGTCCTTGAGATGTCAATGGTGATGAACTGCAACGTCTGATCCTTTACCGCGGCCTGCAGCTGCTCCTCATCGCGGTCC